TGTGTGTGTGTGTGTGTGTGTGTGTGTTATATGTACGTATGTATGTATTTATTGTGAATGAAATTTTTATTATAATATCATATGATAATTCTTATCATATCATCATGAATGAAATTCATATCATAAATTAACAGTATTAAGTATTAAATTATTATAGAGTTTAGAAATTTTAAATTTTTTGTTAAATAATTTTTTTAATAATTATTATTATTAATATTATAAATAATATTTGTAATAAATAGTTAATTTCTCTAATATAATAAAGTTTATCAAATTATAAAATTAATTTTTAATTATCTTGAATTCAGTTTAAAAATTATTTCATTATCATTGTTTTCAATGACATTTGAAATTAAACAATTATTAAACAATTATATTAAATATATTACTATTTTTTCAAAAAAATTTGTATTATTGTTATATTAATTGAAGAAAATTGAAAGTCGTAATAATTAAATATGATATAATATAATAATATAATGAAATTATATTATTATTAATAAATAAGTAATAATTAAACATTAAATAATGTAATATTTTAAATATACAATCATGTGTGACTAATTACCAATAAAAAATCATAAAAAATCATCTAAAACTAATTTTATTAACATTATTTATATATTAACAGTTAAAAATAGTTATTAACTTAAAACTATTCTGTTGTAGTTTTGAATTAAATAATTGAAAAAAACAAAAAAAAAAAAATTAAATTGAATTAATTAAAAAAATTTTTAAAAATCAGAAAAAAGACCAGAATAATTATTTCTTTAAATAATAAATTTTTATTAAATCTTATAACTTTAAAATCATGAGAACTAAAAAGAAAAACAGATATATTTTCATTGCAGGAGTCAGCAAACAAAAATAACAATGATGACATCGATTTTTGTGATTTCTTTTCTTCTATTTGTACTGGCATATCCTTGCCACGCACAAAATGATTATATTAAATGTCAGACTAGTTCAGAATGTCAACCAAATCATTGTTGTACTTTAGGTATTTCACTTAATAGAAAAAATAAATTCATTTTACATAAAAAATTATTAATTTATTTTTTAAAACTAATAATTTTTATAATTTATTTATATAATTTATATTTTTATAATTTTAGGATCAGCAAGATATAGTATACCACAATGTAAGCCTATGCAAGGAAAAGGAGAAGTTTGTAGACCAACTAATGAGCCTTTTAATGTTACCCTTGGTTATCCGGATGGTAGTTTATTGAAAATTGAAGATGTACATTTCATTTTTTGTCCTTGCACTAATGGACTTTCATGCGAAAAAGGCATTTGTAAAGAAAAAAATTAAAAAATATGATACAATTCAATTAATCAATAATAAAGATTAGACAACAAAATAATTAATGCAAAACAAAGAAAAAAAAATTTTTTATTATAAAAAATGTATAAATAAAATTGATAATAATAAATATATTTGATACAATGAATAAAAAAACAATTAACTAATAAAAATAATTAGTAAAACTCGATATATAAATTAAAACAAATTTAATAATTAAATTGTATTCCAAATGACTAAATTATTTCTAATTTTATTATTTCTATTTTTTTCTAAAACATAATAAAATAATATTAACAATTTTCTTATGAGAATTAAAAAAAAATCAATTTCAAAAAATTTAAATTAAAATAAAAAAATATAATTATATAATGATATTATGATTATTAAATGTGTAATCTTGTTTAATCATAATTAACAATTCAAATTATTTTAATGTTTAAATATTTTTAATGTTAAGTAAAATTTAAATAATGTTAAAATAAAAATAATAAAAAAATATTATTTTATTTAATTTTTATATTATTTGAACGATAATTTATTTTTTTTGTCCTTGAAATATTTTTAATCGATAATAGTAATTTAATTTGATACAATCTTATTTATAGAGTCGAACATCTTTATTTCATTATGTCAGTGACTATAATTTTTCAGTTAAAATAGGTAACTGTAACCGAATAGAAATTTTGATATTTTATTTGCCAATGCAGATAAAAGAAAATATTTAAAAAATTGTGTATTTTACGATATGGACAGTCAAGTATGTGGAGACGGTAGATTATTAGATTTAATTGATGAGATTTGGCATAAAGAACGTTTGCCTATAGATGATATTTCAGTACCAATAGCAGAATTACCTGATCCTGAAAGTGATAATGGTGATTCTCATATGACATTGAAAGAATTAGAACAAAAGTGGAATAATCTAGCTTTAGGAACTCTCAGTGAAAACCATTTACATTCTCCAACACCTTCTCATAGTTAAATAAGTAATGGTTTGTAATATATAATAATTGAACATAACTAATATATTAATAATTTATTATATATTTTAATTAAACAAATTATATTTTTGTTCATAATATATATATATGTATATTTATTCTATTATAGATTTAAAAATGGAATTTCCAAATATTGGAGCAAGATGTTCAATCAAAGATTGCAAACAATTAAATTTTTTACCATTTCAATGCAATCATTGTCATGATTTATTTTGCAAAGAACATTTTCATATATCTTCTCATAAATGTTTAAGTTTTAAAGATAAGATAACATATACTAAAATAAAGGCATCAAATTATACATGTTCAGAAGAATTTTGCAAGGAAATGTCACCTATCGAAATGCAATGTATTAAATGTAAAAAACATTTCTGTCTACAACACAGATATCATGGTTGTTTAGAATATACAAATGAAGAAAAAACAACAAAGTTAAAAAAGTGGCAAATACCAAAAAAACAATTTGCAGAAGCAAAAGCTATAGTGGATGAAGAAATTTCAAATACTTTGAAGAAATCTAAAAATACTGCAATGGCTAATAAAGTATAATATTTAAATATTTAAATATAATAGTTAAAAAAAGATGTTATTAATATTAATTACTTATTAATGTATAATTATTATTTATGATATTATTTAATTAGGTAAGGCTTATGCGTTTAAAGGGTTCTGCTGTTGGTATGAAAAATATACCAATGAATGAAAGATGTTATTTTCTTGTATATCTCCCAACTACAATATCTAATAAACATATAGGACCATCAAAAAGTATTTATGTGAATACAAATTGGACAATTGGGAAGGCAATAGATTCAATAGCTGATATATTAAAAATATCTAATAATAATAATTTAGCAAAAACATGTAAACTACAATTATTTCATTATACAACTGGTGCATTAATATGTAATGAAATGAATATGCTATTAACGAAATTGTTTGAAAATTCTGAACTTGTTGATGGACAAAGTATAATTTTAGAATATTCAAATAGTACTTTTGTAGATTATACTTTATATAAATAAATATTTACAAAAAATAATAATAATCATTTATTTTTTAATTTATTCATCCTTAAAATCTATTTTATTAATACAATAATAATAATTTATTGGTAAAAATAAAAAGACAGTTTTAGAATAATATTTTGTTTATTACAAATTAGATAGTTTTATATATCAGTTTTACATTTATTTTTGATAAAAAGACACGCAGATGAATTATATATATACTTAATAAACAAATCATTTACACCAGATTATTGTCAAGTTTTTTCAAATAAAATGATGATGATACTTTGACTTTGGCACTGGACGTATTTTTTTGTCTTATTTAAATTACACTAATGTAATAAAAAAATAATAATATTAATTAAAAAATAATTAATTAATATTATATAAATAATACTAATTAATTAGTTTTATATTGTATTTAATATAAATAATAATAAAAATTATATAATAAAAAAGATATGTTTTTAACCATGTGCGTGTTTCAATTATATTCGTTATTTTATTCCATTTTGTTGAATTAATCAATAAAATTATTTATTATGAGACAGAAAAGTCTTAAATACGCACACGGTAAAATATTTTCGGAAATAACTATGTAAATATATAAAAAATCTTAAGTTTCTTAGAATTGTTTCTATTTCTTAAACTATAAAATGTAAGTCTTTTGTATATTTAAAGGCTTGATGCTTTTAATACTTACAATACTACTATTACTTATAATTATATATAATGTGCGAATAATATATTAATTTTAGTGCAAAAATTACCAACATATGAAATTTACTATTGTTATTTATTTTTTATAAATTATATACATAATAAAAAAATTAATATTTATTACAAAATGTGGTTATTTTAATATATAATTAATTTAATCAATCTTTTATAGTGAATAAAAAAATATTTTTTCTCATATGAGTAATTTTTGCAACAAATTTGATATGTAACTAAATATATATATTGAATAATATCATTATTTAAATATTTTATTTTAGATTGAATTTATATAGTTTAAAAGCAACCAGCCTGTGATTGTTCAGTTTGAGAAAATTTCAAGAAAAAATATATGGCTACATTACTTAATACAATTTCTTGACAACATATAACATAAATTAGTAATGAAGAAAATAAAATTATAAAAATAGAGCATTATGTAAAAAATAAAAAATCATTGTTAAAATATAAATGAAAATTGTTCTTGAAATAAAAAAAAAGTTTGATGAAAACAAAAATAGAAATTATGTATACAAGAACTGCAATACTAATAAGTAAAGCCATTCGAATTTTTCCACATTTTTTAGTATCATGACCTCTTGATCGAATATTGGCCACCTGCCTATTGGGAGGAATTTGATAGCGGTAGGTGGCCTGAAGTCAAGCTCAGGAATGCCAACGAGATTTTTGCAATTCAATTTGGCCTTCTAATGTTTTAGCAAGATAAATGACAAATAATTGACTAAGAGCTATACCTAAAGCAATACCAGCTATTGTGTACAAATTGCGTTCTGCCCAACTTCTTACAATTTCAATGCACCCACTAGTCCACACTTTTTTACCTGCTTCAGAAACTGGTAGCATTTGTACTTTATAGCCACACATTATATTCACAAGTCCACTCTAGAAATTTGAATAATATTTTAAATATACTATTAAGAAAGTATTAAAAATACTTACTGATATATCTGTAGCATTAATGCAACATGAAAATGGTGCACCACAACGTTCTACACTAGGACTGGAACAATTGAAATATTCATTCTTTCCCCAATCCAAATATCCTTCTTGACTTAAACCACAGCACCTGAACTGTTTAAAAAAAAACAAATTTTTTAAAATAATATTAATTATAATATGTATATATATATTATTAAATATCCTACTATAATATTTCTTACTTTTTGCTGACCAAAATCAATAAAATTTTGTAAATCAGGATCTTCTCTATATGTTTGTATGATTTTATCTGTGAATGACTCTTCCAATAATGATTGTAATGTATGTGGAAATATAAAACCAACAATTGCTATACCCATTTCAAGCAGAAAGAATACCAATAGACACAATGAATACTACAGTAAATAGATTATTAGATATTATATTAGTTATTAGTAAACTTTAAAATATAATACATCTATTAATACTAACAAATTTAAGAAGACAAGTATTTTCACGTAATGCTCCTACACATCCTGCAAAACTAACAACAAAGACTACTGCTCCTGCAATAACCATTACAAGTGAAATATTGAGAATTACATCATATACATTTTCCACTCTAACAGAACCAGTTGCTTGCCATTTATCCACAAATGCATATAAACCTACTCCAATTAGAAGTCCTCCAAATAACTGCATAATAAAATAAATATTATATTTTAATTTAAATAATTATTTAATTTAATAAAATATTCAAAATTTTATTTTCTTTATTTATAAATAATAATGCTAATAACATTAATGACAATAGTATAATAGCATTTATTAATTATAATAAAAATAATAATTCATAATATGAAATAATAATAATATACTCACCCAAAAAACAAAATTGAGCATAAATATCATATATTTCACACAAGAACTAACATAAGTGAAATTATTCGTTCGTCTCCGATTATTCATCATTATAAAGTAAAAACAGTTTTAAGAAATATTAATTAGTATATACAAGATATTCGTACTTTTAATTATATATACAAATTACATCGATTAATTATTTCATAATTCCATATATTCAACGCATATTTACTATTTCTTTCTTTAATCGGTGAAATATATTTGATCGTTTATGAATCAAAGCAAAAATATAATGCACCATACTTTGACAGCTTACTTTGCATCCGCCATTACACCTCTGTTTCTCATATTCCTCGAATTCAAGTTTAAAATCAGCTGTCCATTCCACGTTTCAACGAAATAAACGGAATACATGTGTGTATAAACCAAATAGAAAATTCTAAACGAAGTAATTATTAGCGCTTGATTTGTTTTAAATTTTTAATACTTATACGTGTTTATATTAAAAGAAAAGATATAATTTTTATTTGAAACAATGACATCGGTACAAGACAGTAAGTTTATTATTTATTTATTACAATTCATGATTTTCAGGTTAATAGAATTATTAAATATTAACATATAACTTAAATTAAATAATTTAAATAATAACATATTAATAATATATTAAATTAAATATAAAATTTCATTATAATGTTAAGTTTTGTAACATTTTGTTATTTATTGTTATATATTTATATAGAAAATAAACCTTTTGACATATATCAATAATAATGTAATATAAACAATATATTAATACTTTAAAATATTAATATTATAAATACTTATCTTAGCATAGTATTAAAAGATATAATATTAATTAATTATATAAAAGTAATAAAAATTATAAATTATAAAAATTAATAAAATTATATAAAATTCAATGTAATTTATATTTATTATACATTATAATATTTATTTGCAGGATTGAAATTAAAAAGATCATATGATAATTGGACTACACGTGAACAATTATATTTGGCTTCAAGCGTATTGAAATCAGGAGATCAAAACTGGATGAGTGTATCAAGATCATTAAAAGCAGTTGTTGAAAAAGAAACATCAAGACCATCTGATTGGTTTTCTCAAAAATCTTGTGCAATTCAATATGCATATTTATTAGAAAATGCAGATACACCTAAAAGAAAAAAAAGAGAAAGTGGAGAAACAACAGGTGAATCAATAGTAAGAAGATTAACACAAGAAAGGATAACAGAATTAGGACAAATGTTAGCTTTTCAAAGAGAAGAATATCAACAACTTAAAACTGAAATAAATATGTTAAGATCTGGATCAATAACAGATGATAAATTAAATAAGATGTGGCTTGCAATTGAACAAGAAGAACGAGAACAAGAACAAAAAGCAAGAGCACATTCTGCATGGTTAGCAAAACGTCAACAAAAGCAAGAATTAAATTCACCAGTATCTAATATAAGTCAACGTAAATCTAGTGAAAATACAGTAGAAATTCAAGAAACAATAGAAAATATAGAGGAAGATGAAAAGAAAGCTAGAGGAGGAAGATCACCATTGTTAACAAGTCTATTAAAATCACCAAGTCCAACAACACAAATTCAAACATCAACTACTACAGGACAAATAAGTTCTCCTACAATTACAAGTTTACTTGGTTCTAGCCCTAAAGTACCAAGTTCTCAATTAACACAAAATGTATCTCCCCAATTGCATCAATTAGTTACATCTGCGATTTCAAATGTACCATCAGAAAGACCATCAGTTGGTGCACCAACTTTATCTATGTTATTAGAAATGCCAGCTAATACACAAAGAGGTCCTTTACCTAATTTACAATCAACACCAACTATTGTATCTCAACAAAATGTAACTGAAATTCATAATTGTCAATCTCAATCTGTACATCAAGTAACAGTACAAAATGAAACATCTGTACCTCAGTCTTTAATAACAACTTCAAATATTACATCTACAGAAAGTATGGTACAGATTATAGATCATATAGATGATGTAATACGTAAAGATATAATGGCAGATGTAATAGACAAAGATGAAATTAATGAAATTATTGGAGATATAGAAGAATTAATAAAAGAAGAAATTACTGGTAGTCCACAAGCTTTAGATACAGCTACATCAACTATTAATACTCTTACTGTACCTCAAATTCAAGAACCAGTAGTAACAGAACGTCCAGAACCTAGAGATGTAGATGAAACTGTATCACTTTCTAATTCACCAGAAAGTGAAATGGCTATTGAAGAAATTGATTCTAGCACATCAAATATTGCAGAAATTATAGGAACAGTTGCTATAGAACCACAAGAACCCAAAGTTATTGTGGCTAACATATCTGAAACTATAACAAATACATCAGAAGAAATAAAATCTGAAGAAAATACATGTTTTGAAAGAATGGCATTAAAAGAAGAACTTGTTCCTGAATTAAATACTCAAGATAGTGAAAACAGTAAAGATACTCCATTAGAAGAAAAACAAATAGTTGATGAATTTGATACTATGGATTCTACTTCAAATATAGAAACTGAAGAAAATGATTCAAAAATAGCTGCAAAAGAGCTAATGGATGAAATAGTAGAAGATGAAGTTGAAGAAGAAGAAGAAACTGAAGTGGTTGTACCAGAAATTAATAAAGAATGTTCTACTAATAAATTACAAAGAATATCCTCTAATGAATTAGAAAATAAAGATAATATGGAATTGGATCAATTAGAAATGCATCTTGCTAAAATTACTGGTGAACAGCAAGATGTTCCATCAGCAGAAGTTGTTAGTGTTTCATCTGAAATAACAAATGATCTTCCTAGTACAGAGGATACAGAAAAATCACAAGATATTAGTTTAATTTTAGAAGATGATGAAAGTAGTTCAGATGATAAAAAGAAAATAACAGAAGAACAGATTATAGAAAATACAATTGAAAGTACAGAATCTATTGAATCATTTAAAGAAGAACCTATAATTGTAATAAAAGAAAAAACTATTATAGAAGTAAGTGAAGAATCACCAGAAAAATCTCAAGAACAGACAGAAGAAGCTTTAGAAATTTATACAGATGAATTTAAAAAAGAAGATACAAAAGATTCTTCAGAAGATACAACAAGTTCTATTTTACAAGATATAGAAATAAAAGAAGAAGAAATAGAGGAAACAGCAATTGTAGAAGATTCTACTCAGTTGGTGTCTCCTGAAGATATAAGTTTAAAAATAGAATCTGTAGATCCTATTAATACTGATACTTCTATTGTTAAAAAAGAAGAAAATACATATGAAGATTCAAGAATAGAAGAAGAAACAAAAATTCAATTAGAAAATTCATTAATATTAGAAGTGAAAAAAGAAGTTCAAATAAAAGAAGAGAAGGAAGAGAAAAAAAATATAGATATTGAGCAAAATGTAAAAAAAGAATCAGAATCTATAATAAGTGCTGGAGAAGATACTGTTGAATTAGATGAAGAGGAATCATCATTAAGCAAGTTAAGTGGAGGTCGTGCTATGAAAACATATTCAAAAAAACAAAATGCTTCTATTGATAGTGAACCTGAAACTGAAGGTACTGGAGAAGGTGCAGATTATAGAGCATGGAAAAAAGCAGTCATGTTGGTTTATAATCGACTTGCTACCCATAAATATGCATCTGTTTTTTTGAGACCTATTACAGAAGATCAAGCACCAGGATACCATTCAGTTATTTTTAGACCTATGGATTTATCTACTATTAAAAAAAATATAGACAATGGCACAATTAGATCTACAATGCATTTTCAACGTGATGTTATGTTGATGTTTCAAAATGCTATTATGTATAATAAACATGATACATTTATTTATAAAATGGCAGTTTCAATGCAGGAAGAATGTCTACAGCATATGCAGGTAAAAATATAAATGTAATATAATTATCATTTTTAAGAAATCTTATGCATCACTTAATTCTGTGTAGATATTGGTGCAAGTTACAGGAGAAGGAACACTCAGAAGAGAAACAAGAACTGCAGCAAGTAATAGTAATGAAGCTAATGAAAGTAGCATAAAAAGAAAACGAAGTCACATCACTCCAAGTCCACATGATACAGATAGTCCGCGTTCTAAAAAACGTAGAAAATCAGAAAATGATTAGGACATTTTCTTGTTTATAGGTATATATAAATGCGCGCGCGCGTGTGTGCGTGTGTGTGTGTGTGTGTGTGTGTGTAATTTGATATACATTAAAATTCTCAAGAATTTTGTTGACAAATATGAAAGAAAGGATATATCTGTTAACATTGAGGGATAATGTTGGATATACATAGACATTTATATTAAATATTTATGTTATATATAATAAGAAATATAGTGACTTAAAATTCTATCTCATTATTTTGATGATAGTAAAAAATGAAAAAATAGATTTTATATTAATAATTACAAAAATTACAAAAATTAAAATCATATTTATCTTCTTTTAATACATTATTATTATAATTACATACTATATGTATAATGAAAAAAAAAAAATTATTTTATATGGTAATATGGTATTAAAAAAAAATTTATTTTTTTTTTATTTAAAAAAAAATGCAATAAAAGCATTTTATAAATATAATTTTTTTAAAAATATATTAAATAACATTATTAAATAACAAAAAAATTTACTAAATAAATAATTTAAATTATAGCTTATGAAATAATGTAATTTGTTCTACCATAATAAAAAAAAAAGCCTGCCATTTATTCCACTTTTGTAAACATTTAAATTTTAGATACAAAATACAAATAAATCATTAGTATAATAAAACATACGTAAGAAATTTAAACTTTATAGTCGTATAACTTGTTAAAATTTAAAAAAACTTTATAATGGGCTATTATGCCAGCGGTGATACACGAAAAATAATACAAACTTCTGACGATGATGAAGGTTATGAAAATCAATCATCTTGTACTACAGTATCTGTTGGAATATTAAATCAATTAGAAGATAGAAATAAACAATACTTTATATTTGGAATTTCTCAAGGAATTGTAAGTTATTATTATGATCATATATTAAAAATAATACATTTTTATTTATATGATCTTATATTTAAGTCACCCACACCAACACCACCAATATCCGATGACACTGATCGACCATTCTGGGCTGAAGATGAATTAAGTAGTTCAGAATCAAAGCAGCAATTAAATGAAAAACAGAAACGTCGGCGTAGTTTATCTTATCGTAATCGTATTGCAGTACACAGAAGTCGGTCTTTACTTTTTCAATCATCAAGTTCTAGTTTAGATTCATTATCTGAACGAATTTCACCTGGAGGTATTTCTTATAAATTATTATAAATTATATTATATATTTTTTTGTATATAATATATTTTGTATATAATTATATATAATAGTATAATAATAGTATATTTAAAATAAACAATATATAATATATATTGTTATAATATATAAGAGATAAATTCTATATCATTTTAATATAATTATTATAGTTTTTAGACGGGAACAATTTACAAAACAATTCAATATAGAACAAATCGGTTATAATAAAGCAAAGAAGAAATATGCACGAAAAAAAGGAACTTCTTATTTAAATAATGGTAAAACTATTTGTACAAAGAATAAAAATATTAATCGGAAATAAATCCAAAGGTATCTTATTTTTCATGAATAAAAGACTTTGTCAAAAGATTATTTAACTAAAAAAATAATATAAAAATTTTTTCTTAAAATATTGAACATCAATTTAAATTGCAGTATATATTTATTATCATCTTATTATTTTTAAAATTTAAATGAAGTATAAATGAAATCAATCAGTTAAAGTTTTATTAAAAAATATTTGACTAAATATAAGTAGAATGCTTTTATTATTATTATAATTGCTTTGAATAAATTATTACAATATTTAATACAATTTAATAAAATTATTTTCAAACATACAGACAAGAAATTGCACAAATTATGAGCTACTTTATAACCAATGATTGTGGTAAAAATCAGTATGAAAAAATTGGTGAAATTCGAACTCGTAAGTGATTTAAATTATATATTAGTTGAAAATATTTTTTGCATAATTTTTACTTTAATTTACCAATAATTATTGTTAAAATATTAAAATATAAATATATCATATAAATGTGTAATCATATCTTAATATACAATATTATAGTATTAAATATTAAATATATATTAATATTAAATATTTGAATATTTAATAATAATAATATTAAATATTTGAATATTTAAAATTTGAATTTCAAATATATCTAATCTATTTATTACTATAATAAAATATATTTTTATATCTTTTTTAAATTTTTTTAAATTTCAGAATCAACACTACATCCAGCTTTTATTGGACTTATTTTTTTGAGTTTCTGCATGATATTTATAATATTATCACTATGGAATATTGATAATACAATAAATCCAAAAAATAACACTTATGTATTTTACTTAAAATCAAAACATTCACTTTTACATACAGTATCAAACAAATTTTTATCATTTGGTCTTGATACATCTTTACTTCGTGATATGAAAAATCTTCCAATTAAAAATAACAAATTTATAAATTTAGCTCAATATCTTGCACCAGCTTATATTCGAATAGGAGGTACATCTGCTGATTGTTTATATTTTAATCAGGTAGATTCATTATTATATTAAAGATAAATTTATATATGTACAGAATATTCCAAAAATGTGGGATACTAATTAATTGAAAATTCACTGATTAATTAAAATAAGTTTAAGCAACATTTTCCTTTGTAAATTATAGTTTTGTTATTAATAAATTATTAACAAAAATATTAACCAATAATTAAAGTGCATAAACTAATTAACAATACAATAAACATAAATTCAAGCAATATTACTTGAATTTGTTTGTTTTCAGTCGGTGATACGTACCTAACATTACCGTCGCAGTTTAATCTATTGCGTTCCATGGTTAATCAATATTTTTTTATTAATAACTCGTTAAAAAACTATAATGAAAATTTTTTTATAAAGAAAAATATTGCTTAAAATTATCTTAAGAATCTGCAGTTAACAGATATTTTTGGGATATGTACAATAAGATATTACAATGTACAATAAGATAGTACAATGTCATATTCGCAAAGATAGTTTCTAAGATTTCGTGGATAACTGAAACTAAAATGAATAGTAGAGATAATAAAAGATGTTATTATATATATTTATATAAATTATATTATATAGACAATATGGATAATTTCTGAAAAAGTAATTAATCCAGTGGATGGGCAAGATATAACTAATTTTACAATTAATGAAAAAGATTTTGAAAATTTATATAATTTTTCAATAAAATCAAAATTACGAATGATATTCGATTTAAATGTATTAATTAGAAATATTAATGGCTCTTGGGATGATATTAATGCTAAAAATATAATTTCATTTGCCAAAAATAAAAATATGAAAATAGATTGGCAACTAGGAAATGGTAATATTATAACTTTATTTTTTATATATTTCTTACTTATCTTTTAAATAGATTGATTAATAATGATAAAATTTCTAGAACCAAATTCTTTCTATCATGTATTTAATATGAATATTACTGCAATTCAACTTGCATATGATTATCATCAATTAAGACAATTATTAAATGAAATAGGATATAGTGAGAGTCTTCTTGTGGGTCCAGAAGTAAATCATGTAGGAGATATAAATCATATAGGAGAACATTATGCAAAAACATTTTTAGAAAATGATAAAAATAGTATAAACTATGTCACTTGGCATCAGTATTATTTGAATGGAAAAGAAGCTCAATTAATTGATTTTATAAATATTTCAACTTTTAATTATTTGCCAAAACAAATTAAATCTATGCAAGAAGCAATTCAATCATCAGAAAAAATTATTCCTATGTGGTTATGTATGTCATTATATAATTCTACTAGCTTTTTTAAAATTATACTAATAAAATAAAATTTATTAAATAAATTTTAATAAATAAATCATTTATAGCAGAAACAAGTACAGCTTATGGTGGAGGTGCTCCAGAATTGTCAAATAGATTTGTGGCTGGATTTCTATGGCTTGATAAATTGGGATACAGTGCTAGTGCAGGATTAAATACTGTTATTAGACAATCATTATTTGGTGGAAATTATGCTATGATTGGACCTGATCTTATACCAAATCCAGATTGGTGGGTTAGTGTAATTTATAAACAATTTGTTTCAGAAAAAGTATTAAAATTATCATCAACATCTTTTGATTATTTACGACTTTATGCACATTGCACTCCTGAGAAATCATGGATTAATAAAATTGTAGCAATTACAATATATGGAATTAATTTGTATAAATATTCTATTAATATAACTATTCAAGGAATTCCTATATTTCATAAAAATTCTAAAGTATTTTTGTATGCACTCACTTCTAATAATTTACAATCAAGGTATGTATTATAAAAAAATAAATTTAATTTTAATTTAAATTTAATTTTTCTTACTCTATCTATTTTCAGAGATATAAAAATAAATGGAGAAGTATTGAAATTGCAATCTAATGGCAGTTTGCCATTATTTCAACCTATAATATTAGAATCCACAGAATTAATTACTTTACCATCTTATTCCATGATATTCATTGTAATACATGGTGCATATGTTCCAGCATGTCATATATAAATATATAATAATAATAATAAATTTGATGAAATTTTATATATATTGTATGTTTTTTACATAAAAAATTTTATAGATGCTATATAACAATATTACAAACAATAGATAAATATTATAATAAATATAAATGAAATATAAAATTTAAATGTAATCAATTTTGTTTTTTTTTTGTATTAAATTTATTATTTTATGTAAAATCATTCGATAATATACAACAATATAATGTATAATTATAGATGCTACAATTAAATTTTTATTTGTTATTCGAATTAATTCGAAGTTATAAATTATTTAAGTTAATAAAATATTTTTATTGTAAATTTTATTATGATATCAATGGCTAAAGAAAAATTAAAGAAGATAAAACTTAATTATTTTTATTAAATTAAAAGAATATAAATAAGTTTTATAAGATATTGTTTATATATATTACATATATTTTTATAAATACAAATAATTATATTAACATTATTTATATATATCTCATTAAAGTCAACATATAACACATGATAATATAGAGAAATTTTTTTAAAATTTTGACATTTATAAATAATTATTAATCATAATATTATATATGTGGTATATTTACTAAGATATTTATTAGTAGATATTATAGCAGTTTTCTATTAGCAATAGAAATCAATTTTTTTTATAAAATTGTACATTAATATAATAATTATACAAATACTGAAAATAGTAAAATGTTAGGTGGAATGATTAATTTTATAATCATTATAATGAATTATTACATCAGGTTAAAATTATTTATTACAATTAAATTTATTTGAAAAATTAATGGCATTAATTTTAATCAATCTTAATATTATATATATATTAATATGAAACTGAAAATTTAACAATTTATTGAGTTATGAAATATTAAGATATATATGTACATAATATTTTTAATAATTTGATATTTTTATATTATTCTTGAGATGAAATAGTAATTGTTTTTCCTTTAGGATCATCAAATCTATCCATTGTACGAATATCTATAATCATAGTAAGTGCCCAAATCATAATTAAAGCTAATATAGCAGTAACAAATATTCCTGTCCAAATTGGAATTGAAGTAAAACCAACACAATCATATGCATCATTAAAAGTTCTTGTATTATTTTTATTTTCTGGAATAAGTTGCACTTGCAAATCTGTAATGCGTAAGCTAATAGTATCATTTTTAAATATAATATTTTGTGAACAGTGATAAGAAAAATTAAATGGAAAAACAATATCTGTATTTGTTATTAAATTTTGTTGATTTGAAAGTTTTGAATTTATATAATATGTATATTGAACTGTTTTTAATGTAAAATAGCCTGCAGTTTTAATTTCAAACATAAAAACAAGTTCATGTTGATCCATAGTTCCATTAAAGGTCAGAATTAAATTAGATGAAGATTTTTTTGTACCTGGTTCATCTTTATATGATGTGAAATTAAGAAGTTCTATTTCATCTTTATTGTTTTCAAGCTATTGAAAATAAAAATTATTCATAAAAATATATTAAATGAATTATAAAATAGAATGTTCGAAATAATGATTGAAATTACCTTTAATAATAATGGTTGACTAGAATATAATAACACTCTATGTGATGAAACAATAAAATGTTTATCTTTATTATTTGTAAGAATGTCTCTCTTTACTCGTTCAGAACGTCTATAATTACATGCTTTTCCTGTGAGTATAGCTATCAAATTAGGACTGGAATCTCTTATTGTCTTATATGTTTCAGGAATAATATCTAAATTATTAATTGGAACAATCAATAATTGCCCATCAGATATTGAATCCATATAATCATTATAGGTTTGATTATAAAAAGGTAAGTTTTCAACAGTATTCATTGCTTTCTCAACAGCAGGAAAATAACTTTTTGAAGTAATAACTTTTTGAAGATGCTAAAAAGTTTAAAAAATTATATTAATATTATATTAAATTATATTAAATAAAAAAGCAAATGAATTCAAACTAAATAATTATTTAAATATATTATAATAACCTGTTTATGTTTTACTAAATCTTCGATACATAAATTATCTTTTATATACAGAAGAACGGGAGGTGAATTTTCTAATTTCTTATGCAGAAAAAGATCAAATTCTTCGCTAGTAGTCTTTAAAAAGGGATTTACTGCATCTGTCTGTATTAAATCAGAATTAACAGATCCACCCCATAGCAATACAGGGACTGCATTATCAGCATGTGAAAATAAAATTTGAAATGCAACGGTTAATATAAAAACGAAATAACAAATATTAGAAAATCGTCTCATGATGTTTTAGTTAAACAGAATTGGGCAAACTAGACAAGTACTGATCGACTGTGAATGAATAGAAGGTAACACCACCTGATCCTAGGCTAGAATCATATGACAAACGTCACGTGATAACATTGTTTCCGGATTTCAAATACACCTTCATTTTAAATTAAATCAATTTATTCTATGAAATTGTTCATTAAATTGAGTGAAATGTAAAAAATTATTTCGTAGAAATAAAATTTTCGTAAATATTATAATCTTTTAACTTAAATTAGAATCATGGATAATAACAAAATTGGATCAAAAGGAGAAACTGTTATGTATTCGGTTTGTTATAAATTTAAATAATGAATTCAAATAATGATGATAATAATAATAATAACTCTCTTAATATTATCAATTTTTTAATAATTAGCAACTACAACCATGGAGTACTGTAGGAGTACTACCATGCATGGAACAAATTGCTGGCCCACCAATTCCAATTAGAGTTGGAGAATTTTATAAAACTCCAAAACCGCATCCATGGCGTCCTACTTTAGGATATGAAATGATAGAAGCATCTCCTTTGTAAGAATTTTTTAAATAAAAGAGCTCTTTTTTTTTAAGTAAATAACCCTTTTAATTATTTATATTACAAATTATTATTTTTTTTTTAATCATTATTTTAGACCTGCACAACCTATAACAAATTTGCTCGCTAATACTTGTTATATGCCAAAAGGAATGGCTACGGAACCGTTACGATTTCCAAATTTGGTAACAGGTTTTGATAGAAATCCTGCTCATGCAGCACGAACTGCACTTTTTACAAGATATGGCCCATATGAATGGGTACAAAATCAGTTAAGGCTTTATAATGAATCGGATAGCAATAGAAATTTTTCCGAAAATTTACGACAGGATACCGTTCGAATAATGCGGTAAAATTATTATTATCTTTGATACATTATTGATATTAACAATATATTGATATTAACAATATATTGATATTAACAATATATTATAGAAAAATTAATACAATTTTAGAGAAACCGACGAAAAAGTACAAAAAGGTCAAATTGAAACCGGTCGTAAATTAGGAGAAAGAATTACGGATACTACATTCTGGAGAAATGAAATGGCTTCAGAATTGGAAAGATTAATAATAGAAAATGCAAAAATGCAAGAATGTCGTCGAAATTTACAAATAACAATACAAAGTTTAGAAGGTCAATTGCATATTGCGCAGGAATGTTTATACTATCGTGAAGCTAGAACAGGTTTGATATATTTATTTCTAAATTAAAAACTTACATGTATATTCTATTTTATATATAATAAAAAATGTATAAAGGTTCTGATTTGGTACATGATCAAGCTGAACATGCTCTTTTAAAAGAAGTGGAAGTAGTTAGAAATTGCGAAAATAAATTAGAACATTTTACAGATAAATGTAATAATCAGGTAAGATACCGAATTACAATTTCATATTAATTATTATAATCACTTTGTTATATATTCAGCTGACGAATGGTAGAGCAGTACAAAATCAATTAGAAATTGATATAAAAAATAAAGAAACTGCACTTGGAATTGATATTACATGTCATCAAATGAATAATTTTAGTCGTGGATTAAAATATTACGGTGGTATTGAAAAATATGATCCCAGGTAAGTTTATGTTAAAATATCATTTATTATCATAATTTACATTAATAAATCTTAAGTGTTACAGAAGCTGAATCGTGGATTGAAGCTTCCAATAATCTAGTAAAAAAATCACAAACAGAACGAGAAAAATCTAATCAATTACGAAGTGATATAGAAATTGCAATAAATGCAGTTGGACATGAAATGTGGGAAGCGTGGGGAAATACAAATAATGCGTTAGCTAGAAGAGCTGCAGAAATGCTTGAAGCAAAAGAAAAATTACAAATACATTTACATAAAGTAATTAAAATTATCTTTATCCATAAATTTTTGTTTTTTAATTAACGTATTAACTATAGATTCAACAAGAAATATTTGAGGTTGAAAAGAATTTGCAATTAATACAAAAAGCTATCACAGATAAAAGTTCTGCTCTTAAAGTAGCACATACTCGTTTAGAAAGCAGAACACATCGACCAGCTGCAGAATTGTGTAAAGATTATGCTCAACTTAGGTATATTTGAGGAATTTATCTAGAATTTAATGATAATACTTTTAAATATTACATTTTTATTTATACAGAATGATTGAGGAAGTAGAAACGATAAATTCGACGATACATGATATGAATTTAAAATTACAAAGATTCGAAGCACAACATCAACAACTTTTACGGACTAGATCTAATTTAGAAACTGATTTAAAATCTAAGGTTGATGCATTATTTATTGACAGAGAAAAATGTATGGGAATGCGAAGAAGTTACCCGATTGCATCAGTTATAAAGTTTTGAAATATATATAAGTATATACATAATACATTTTTAATTTTAATTCTCTTTAATATTAAAAAATACAACATTCACATATTTGTTTTGTTTATTATTTTTTTTTATAATATTGTATATAAAAAAACTTTTATACAAACTATTTTATACAAAACAATTATTTATTTAATCATCTTATTACTTTGTGAAAATATAATAAAAATAGTTTTACATTTTTAAATATATATTATATCTTTTTTTCTTTTAATATTAACAAAAGAATTCATTGGTGCTAATCCAGTAATATGTAAGACTAGACTAGCTTTATTAATGAAATAATTAATTAATTTTTAATAATTTTTAATGATTTAGTAATATCACATTAATCACTTGATATGGAATTTTTACATTTAACTAATAACTAAAATAAGACTTAATGCTATGTACAATGCTACGTACTTTAGAACTATTCACAAAGTATCTACACGCAGAATAATAAATTTTTAAATTTAAATGTACTAAGAATTACACATTACCTGATACTTGTATATCATTATGTACAAGCTTTTTAAACAACTTGTCTTTTCATATAAAAAATAATACATTATTATAGAAATTTATTTAAAAAATTTGTTTACTTTTCTTTTTTGATCCATTTGAAAATTGCTATATTATCATAAATTTTCATCACCGCTGAGTCTGAATTATATTCGTCTTTTAAATAAAAAATTTTAATATTCTCTTCTGGATGACATTCTAAAACATTCCATTTTTCAAATAATTTCAAAGCATTCTTTATTGGATCCACACATAAGCTTTCACCTATTTTAAAATATAATTGATAATACATTAATTTATAATTTAATATATTTTATCCAAATATAATTATTTATCATTATTTACCATATTTTATTATGCCACGACTAAAATTCGTTTTTAACTCACGAATAATTTCATGAATTAAGTCTCTTTCGGATAATGATCGCCCTACTAATTTCCTAAGAATAAAAGCACTAAAAGTGTAAGTATCAATTAAAGGTTGCAATGATACATGAAGAAATTCCATACGATTCGTATGATCTGGTATTAAATTCAGCTGTAAAAAAACAATTAAAATATATTACTATCTCATTATTAAAAAATATATTTAAATTAAAAAATTACTTACTTTATATTGAATATTTTTAGTCTTATTTTTATTACAATATTCTTCATCCGAACTATCATCAAAAGTTTTTGCATATCTTTTACTCCAAAGTTCTTCTTGTAAATAAGATTCCTACCAAATAATTTATATAAGTAAATTTTAAATAATGAAATAAGAATATATCATATCAAATATATATATACTTCTTGTAAAGTAATGAGATCCGTATGTGAGAGATTCATTATAGTTTCTATAATAATGCGTTCCAATTCTTGACATGGTTTACAAAAAATAAATTCATATTTAAGAATATTACAAAGTTTAAGTGATTTTTCAATCAGAACATCTTGAGACACTGTAATATTATTTTGAGTAATATGTACAGGATCATTTATCTGTGATTGCAATTCAGCATATAAAGCTGTCACTGAAAATATATTAATCAGATTATTAGATTGAATAAAATATAAAATAATGTATTTTCTTACCTACTATACTATCCATAACAAAACATGTTAACACTGTATTGCTATAATAAGATAACTCGATTACATTTGGAAGAATCGATACAGGACGGATTACAGTAATAAAATTTGACTTAATTAGTTGACCATCAACTGCTTCTGTAATTTCTTGATTTTGTAGTTCTACTAAATTAGGACCTAAGATGTTTAACTAAAAAAATAAATTTTATATATTTTTTTAAATAATGTATTTTTTTAACATAATATTTATAATTTAATTATTTTACTAACCGCATGATCTATGATATTAATAGTTTCTCCATAAAACATAATATTTTTATTACGTTTTTCTAGCTCCTGAATAATTAAATCAAATGCTTCAATTAATTCATCTAAGGTACAACCATTTCGAAATTTATTTAAAAGTAAAAATGCAACAATATTAGTTGACATTATTGGCATTGAACTAGTGCAATCTAATATAAAAAAATATTATACATTAATATAAAACAAATAAATTAATATTCTTAAAATTATTAATATATTTTTACCATATACAATGTGTTTCGCAATACTATCAACTAATTGACGATATTCTTCTGCAACTACATCTGTACCATACAATGATGAGCTAGATACTGTAGATTTTAAACATTTTTCAATAGGGAGTGTTTTTCTTTCAGTCAATTGTGGTTGGTTTTGAAGAGATGTTAACATTTCCTTTTCACAAATAATAATAAAGATATATAATTAAGAAAATGTAGAACATACAATATTATAAATTAAATATAAAATATTTAAACATCATACTCTAAGTGAAAATGGCTGACAGAAATCAACTTGATTAATCCCATAATTTCCTATTAAAGTTGACCACATAGCTTTAATTGTAGATATAAATGTTTCTACATTTTTTGGTTGACCTAACTGTTCCCTGATAAAATTTCCATCAACAATACGTTCATAATTAATTGAAACAGGTACAATGAGTGCATCTTCAATAGTTCCATGCATATATGCATCAAGAACGACACTCAAAATGCCGCCTTTTGGCATACATGGTTTACCAGTTCTAGTTCGTCCACCTTCTATAAAAAATTCTAAATTATGACCCGCCTTTAAACTTTCTATTATGTACGTGTGAAGAATAGCACGATAAAGAATATCTTTACGGCCTAAAATAGAATCAATTCGACGTTTTATATAAAATGCGCCTAAACCTCGTAAGAGCCACCTATTTGAGATAAAAAATATAATTAAAAAAATTATAATTAAGATATTAATATCTAATAAAATTTGATAATCTATATTTATATATTTATGACATACCCAAACAATTGAATTTGTAAATTTTCACCAGCTGCAATCAATGGATTTTTAATGTTATTTGTCACAAGAATGAAACTTAATATAACATAATCCAGATGACTACGATGTAAGGGAAGTAATATCAAAGGAAGACCAGTCTCACTTGCTTTTTTTAACATTTCTATTTGAGATGGCAATACTACAGTAGATTGTATAAAATATGGAAACACTTTATAAACAATCCATGTAGTTATTTTAAGTAAAAAATTGCTTGTTTTGTTTTGCATTTGAAGTAGTATAGCTTTAGCTTTAGCTTTTCCTTTTGCCAAAGCAACTTTTTCACTACAACCCTCATTATTAACTGTTTCCCAAGCAGTCAATTTTATTGCTTCCTTTAATTTTTCATCTCTTAAGACCTGTAAAAAAAATTATATATAAAGTCTTTAATTAATTTTTTTTAATTAATTTAATTCCAATTTTTATTTTTGTAGATATTTTTAAATTTGCAACTTACTGTTTCAGTCACTCTTGGATAATTAAATGTTTTAAGATTGTATATATATGAAAAACAATCAAATACTTTGGAGAATAGTGATAAGCCTGGATTAACTATTAATATATTTAAACCAAAAGGAGTATGTTGTTTGCTAATATTATTTACCAATGAATTCTAAAAGAAATAAAATTAAGTGAAAAACAACAATAACAAAAATAATAACAAAAAAAAAGGTTATATGTATATAAAAAAAATAGATAAGAAATTAGTAAAAGTCTATATAAATTAATATTATTTTATTGAATTATTGTTAATTTAATTCTTTGAAACATTAAGAAAGATACTAAATATTATAATTATTTATTATACGATTTTTTTTAAATAAATATATTACAATAATATGCAATCATCTTGAAAATCATCTTGAGATCATGTTTTTCCAATATTTTATATTTTTAATTTATTGTTTATATTTGTATTTATATACTTTATATACTTATATACTATTTTATTTGTAATTATATTATATTATATTATATATATATATTAATTATATAGAGTTCATTATTAGTAAAAATAAATTTTACATCTAATTTTCTACAATCAATTACTAATAGATAGAATACAATGTAACAAAATAACTCATTTATATTTAATTATTATAAAAGAAATGGACTTTTATTATCGAAAGTACATGACTTTTATCAAATTCATTATAATCATTATAATTATTCAATAACAATACTTTCTTCTTTCTCATATTTTCTTTTATATTCCTCCTTCTGTTATACTATTATATTGAAGGATACGCAATATTTTATATTTGGCATAAAAATTAAAAATTAAATATATTTAATTAAATTACACGTTTAAATTTTTATATACGTAAAATATTATTTCATATATAGATATTAATATAGATATTTTATTCAAACATATTGTCATAGTCTAATAAATTAGATATATGTATATATAATTACATATACGAAATAAAATATATGAAAATATATGAAAGATATCGTATTCATTAAGTAAGAAAAGATTTATAATTGCATATTTGTTTATCTTGTATAAAAGCTTTACATAATTTTATTTATTGTACATATATCAAACTATCATTACTGATAAAAAAAATTTATTTTAAATGATTTTAAACTACATGGTATCAATGATATAGATAATATTTTACATAAAAAAAAAACATATCAAACGACAATGTTCGCAATTTGCACGTAGCTTAGTTACCAGGCCACAAGCTAAATATATTTTAATGTTGCAAGAGCGTAAGCATACGTCAATACGAACGATGCTATTTATCTAAGATATAGATTTTTTAATGTCAATCACTATTTTTGAAGTAATATTTTTTTTCTGATGTATATTTTAAAAATTAATTTTGTTATTAAAATCATTTTACATTCCTACCGGAAATTTTATATACAAAATACAAAATAGTATATAATACATTAAAGCGATATATCGAATATCTTTCTTAGATATTATATAATAATAATATAATATAATCTTATTCTTCTCATATAAAACTTACTCTAGATGATGGAGTACAATTATTACAGCAATAGTTTAGAAATGGAGATTTTTCTTTAACAACAGGAACTAATGGTTCTGT